TTAGGGCCACTAAGCTGCTCCATTCACATTTCTCACACTTAGACACACTACAGGAGGCCATTGTCAGGTTAGGGTGTGTTTTTGAATGCCTGTTTTGTAATTTTCATCTTTTAAGGTGTATTTTGACAATGTTTTTTCTTTGATTAATTTGTGTTATTATCTCTGTTTGTGAACAGTTAAAAAAAAAGTGTTAAAATAATTTAAGCACATTTCAGTTATGTAAGAGCTGTGTTTATGTCATGAATTACAGGAACGGTAGCTCGGCAGTGTATGGAACCCGTAGCACGGCCCAGGAGACATATTTTCTCCAGCAGGGAACACCTGTCAGAAACTCTGGAAGTCCTGATCCTCAGGATAGTGCCTTCTCACTGCCCAGAAAAGCCCGTCAGCGGCTCCTTAAACATGGAGTTAACCTGCTTTAGCTGGGCTTTTTAAAAGATTTCAATTTCTCTCAGATCTCTTTTATTTCATAGATATCTACCATATTTATAATATATATGTCTCTCTTGTACTGCTCAGAATGTAATGCATGCTTTTGTTTATATAATAGGCTGCTGTTTGTTCATTTTGTAATTAAAAGTAGAGGCTGAAAATTAAAATGTACTGTCATCCCAATAATACTAAAATATAGAGGAAGTGTCTCCATCATGAGAGACGGGTTCTGCTGTAGCCCTTTGCTGTTTAAATGGAATAGAGAACTGAGGCTTTAAAAAATGGCTTAGACCATTCAGTGTTACTGTTAGATGTGTATAGCTGTTGACATTTTCACCTTTTTTAAATGGAACAAAACTGTGCTTGAGTGTTAATAAATGTGCTTTAATAAACCTGTTTGAGATTCTGTCAGGAGGGTTTAGAGCTGTTAAATAATTGGCACATGCAGAAGTATTTAGAGAGTGGCACAAAAAGTATTTGGGTAACATACGTCATACATCCAGTAAAAATCACACTGAAACTACCTGGTTAAATTAACTTCAAAAGTGAAGTTAATTTAAAAGCTATTTGGTTTGATTGTTTGTTATCTATGTAATTAAATTCATACATTTGTGTTAGTATGAATTACAAAGTGTAGCTTAACTGTCTACTTAAGGCCAGTGTATGTGCACCCAGATGAATGGTTTCTATATCCCAGATTACCTCTCTGTTGGTTGTGGAGCTATTGTGAGGATAGGGCAGTTTGGGAAAGTTTTATGCTTCCCTTGGTCCACGTTGTTTCTCTTGCAAATGAGCAACTCGTTGGTGATGGTGCAGATGTTCTGTAATGAGGGTCATTAGGAGTGAGAATAAGAATGGACTGGACTGGCAGGGGTCTGGGCGCCTCATTATGTAGACCCATTTAAAAGGTCGACGGGGGTGCGAATGGCTGCTTAAGGGTCCCAAACAAAACCAGGGGGAGGAGAGTCAAAAGAAGCCAGAATTCAAATTCCACAGAAGAAACAGCTTGTTGTCAGAGCCGGAGGATTTACCTTATTCGTATCGTGGAGAGCCCGAGTCAAGCATCTCCGGAGCGCAATATACGTGGATACTTGAAATGGCCATGGTTACGCGCGCACGAGTTTCACTGCTGGTCCTCGCTTTCATGACTATTGCTATAGGAGTACAGTGCCGATCGCTTCGTACACAACTTCGCAAGGTGACTTCGTTTCAAGGAGAGCGTAAAATCCGTATTGGACACGTCCAGAAACGGAGCCGTCGCGAACCAGGATCCGAGCACGACCAGTGCGCCCTCCTGAGCGCCCCGTGGACGGAGAGCACCACTCCGCTTGGTGACTGGGGCCAGATGTACCGTCTGAAGATATTATCGACGATGAGTGATGGTCCACGTCGTGCTGTTTTCCCAGAACAACCCCTCTTCCGATTCGTTAGACGGGTTTATCGCTGTTGTCAAATGGGCTACCACTGTGGAAGTGTCAAGGGAATACAAGGCGGAAAAGTTGGGGGTAAGTAGCTCTCTTTTCCGACAACTTGTTGAAAATGTGATGCTGGTCCTCAACATGGGATGCTGGTGTTCCCACCAGGCTTAGCTAGCAAGACTTTCTGTCAACTAGCTTTACCAGCTAAATTTAATTAGGGTAATTAAGTCTTAAAGCATCCAAGAAAACTAAAAATATTAGGCTGTGGTTCTAAATTAAAACTGTTATTCAAATTAGTAATCTACGCTTTCAAGGTTCCAACAGAAGTAGCGTTGAAGTAACCATAGCAACAGTAGCGCCCGAGCGAATGTATTTTGTGGCAAAATAAATAAATGATTAAAAAACACTGTTAAAACCAAACTATGCTGGTTGATTGGATTCAGCAGGTTTAAGCTGGCCAAGCTGGTCTCCGAGCCTGTTAAAGCTAGTGTTCAGCTGGTTTTAGCTGGTTGGTCAGCTGGTCTCCCAGTCTGATTATCTAAGTGTGGTCAAAACCCCTCCAAAACTAGCCTGCAAACCAGCTACGACCAGGCCAGTTTAGTCTGGTTTCAGCTGTTTCAGCCCCCCCACCCCCACCCCAAAGTACTGTAATTAGACATTTTAGCATGCAATATCACACCTATATTTAAAAACTATATGAATAGTGTTGTGTTCAATATATATTTATAGGCAGGGATGTTAAAAGACAAAGAGGAACCTCAACAGTCTGCAACTGCAAAATTTTCTGTCAAAAATTCATTTGCAAAACTAGACCAGCACCAAAACCACCATAAACCTAAATCATGACCCTGGTAATTAGTTATTTTTTTTAGCAGGGTAAAACAATTTTACAGTAGGTATATTTACTATGTGACAGCAGTGCCCCTAATGTGTCTTTTTCTTACTTGTCAAGACTACAACATTGAGTTTTTGCTCGGCGAGGATGTGCTGTCAGCACCGTTGGAGAAAGCAGAAGTTCATTTTCACTTTTCAAACCCCCAACACCTCACCATCCAACCCATGCTGCCCTCACTGGAGAAACGAGGGTTCCCTACTAGGTGAGACACGGGAACTTGATAGATGAAGTGAAAATGTTGTTAGCACAGTTCACTCCAAGGAATAGCTGAATTGAACTGCAAATAAAGTCATCACTATTTTCTCTTTCTCTCTGCAGGTACAGTGTCTGGTTGAGAGATGGTGTCGTGGAGCTGAGAGTAGATCTGCTTGCCCTCTTCAAGGCCCTGCAGCTGGTCATCGGAGGAGCCAGTAGAGGTCCAAGCCTGATGGAAATGCATCGGGTGAGGGGCTTGTCCAGACCAGGGGTCGTTGTCCAAAAGCAAAGACCCCCATCCCTTCAAGACACAGTGCCTGTAGTGTGGGGGGAGGTGAATGGGGGCAGGGAGGGTGTGGCCTCCCTGCAGCCCACTTTAGAGCTGGGACTGGCATTACACTGCAGCTTATTGGACAATATTGCACAGCCCTGTCAAGATTATGGTGTACATCTAGAACATGCACCCTTCATCGCTCTGACGTACAGATAGCAAGACACATGCAGCCGTATCGAACAGTGTTTTAGCAAATACATTTTGAAACTGCTTCTGTGTCCAGCCAAACACTGTAAATCCCTAGCGCTCCCCCTTCACAAGTTCTTTGTGGCCATAAAATCTCCGTCCATTCAGTCCACTAACACCTGGTGTGAATGTTCCCTGGATGGTTCGCTATTTTTAAAGAATTGCTAATGTTCTCATTGTTCTGTGACAATGGTGCTTCAGTAGAAGCTTAGTGTAATTCAGAGTGGCCGATGTTATATGGAACACTATGCACTTCAGGATGTAAATTGAATTTATTAACTTATGGGTGTTTTTTTTTGTGAGAAAAAGGTATCACTGTGTAAATGTAAATAGTGTATAATTACAGGTCTATATATTAAATTCTTTTTAGCATTGTATATGCAATGGTTTGTTTCTCTGTTTCTGTGGCCAGTGTATATTGTTTCTTAATTATTTGAGACATTTTGTGTCAATAAGGTGTTTTAAATAAATTCAATATCAATTTGAAAGGCCTCACATACTGAACATAAAGAATTTGGTCATTTTCAGGGTTCATTGAGAACTTAAGAGAAAAAAAATGTTTCGGATTGTAATTTTGATTAGTCTGTTGAGCATCCAATGCTAGTCAAGTACTCCAATATAAACATTAGGTCATGCAATGCACAAAATTTACCAAATCATGTTTACACATGTTAGGACTTCACTACTGTTCAAAATTTTGTAGTCAGAATTTTGTAGTAAAAACTTTCCATTCATCAATGAATCCTAAAAATGCATCACAGCTTTCACAAAAAAAAAAAAAGAAGCAATTTTCAACATTGATGATGAGATATTTCTTGAGCAGGAAATCAGCATACTAGAAATATCTTTGCTTTAATTATATGAGTTAATGACTTGAGTTGCTGTTTTTTCTTGTTTGTTTAGATATATTTTCCTCCATTTCCAGTTGTACAGTGCAGGTGTACTGCACTTTTACAGATAATGTTAGTACAGGCCATAGTCTAAGAAACAGTGACATTACCGTTGTAAGTTTACTGCAGTTGTAAAGTGATCATATGGTAATATTTTATGGAACTGTATACTCAAGTTTAAAAAAAGAAACTACACAATAGAGTTTTATGAACAGCCTCGTCTCATTTCTAAAATGTCCCATTTTGTGATTAGTTATGCATTTTTAACTTTAATTTTAAGATATGAACTCCCTTGAACACTTCAAATAAAAAAATTATAAACATTTAATTTGTTCACTTATAACAGTAGAAATGAACCACATTTTCATCACAAGCAAAATCATTTCCTCTACATCACATATCACCATTCATTCTGGTGGAAATTACATTTACTCATGATAGACAAACATTTATAAAATAGCTGATTCTTTCTCAAACTTTTTCGCTCTATGTCACCCAGCTGTTCAAAGCCAACAACATTTTATTTTATTAATTTACATTACATTTTCAGGTCTAGAAATCTTTAAAATCACATTACAAAATGTGATTTTTACACAATGTGATTTTTACAAATTAACTATAATAAAAATTACATTACATTTAAATTGTAATAATTTTAAGTCACTTTTAGTACCCCTTGTGGGCCCCAGCCCCCTTGTTGTTATCCACTAGCATATATTTTATTTTCAATAAAAAAAATTAAAAATACAACAGTTTTAAAAATACAACAATATTTTTATGATAGATTTTCGTAGTTCAAAATTGGATGTCTGAGCCTGGAACATGGATAAAACAACTGTTTCATAAAAAAGACAAACAAGATGACAGTGCGAGTGTTAAATGTGTTTGTAGTGTTCATTTTTACTGAATAGCTAGACTCTACACTTTGCCCTCAACACAGGCCGAGGCTAAAGTTCACCAAGAGAGAGGGAGAGAGAGAGAGAGAGAGAGAGAGAGACACAGAGGAAGGGAGGAGGGGATGAAGGAAAAGCAAGTAGCAAAAAAAAATCACATTTCAAAGCAAAAGGACAACAGGTATCTAGACTTAATACAGGAGCAAAAGAACACTGGAAAACAAAGAGAAGAAAAGGATAAAGAAAATGAAAAGAAGCTGTTCATGTGAAAGACAGACTACTGAACTCAAAGCCTGAGACAGAGGTGAATACTGAACGTGTGCGATATTGTTTTGGTGTGTGTGTACGTCTGTTTGCACACAAAGAGTGTGTTGGTAATTGCTTCAGTGACACGGACAAAGCTTCTGTGAGCAAAATATAGACAAAAAACGGCCACTTAAACGTGAGAGATGGAGGGAGGAGAGGGGAGGAGAGCAGGAGAAGAACGAAGCAGCCGGCTGTCGGCCTTACAGGAGCAGCTGGTGTGGTCTCTGCTGGGATCAGGGCTGTCAAAAGAGCTGCTGATCCAGGCCATGGGAGATCTGGAGCGAGAACGGGCCTCGGCCGGTGCCGAGAGGATGGACCGGGCCGATGGCGAGAGCTCGGAGGAGGGAGACATGGACAATCCACCTCTTATATTCCGTGAGATGGAGAGGCTGCCGCCGGAGGAGGCCGCGAGGCAGAGGGCTGAAGTTGACCAGCTGTTACAGTAAGTCTCCTGGTGTCTTCTGATCAATCAATCCAAACTCCATTCAAAATGCACATTCTGAACTATCTATTATGACTTCAGTGCCTCGAATGTTGTTCTTCTAAAGAAACATCATCTAAAGTCTGCTTCTCAACTTCATATTTTACTCCACAAATTCTTGATTAAACCTTCTTCTTTTCTCTAGCTCATCTCAGGTCTTCTCTCTTCTAGTCCTTTCATTTGCTTCCTCTCTTCTCTATTGCTCTGCTTCCGAACTGATGGGATGAATATAAAGGAGGTTCCACCTTTTTTAGTTACTAATTACCCACCCTATTCATTATTCTCTGGCCATTTCAAACGTTTTAATAAATGAGCTACATCGACTGGTTAAAATTAACAGAGTGACACAGTGTCCATCGCTCAGTGTGTGTGTTTGTGTACACATGACTGTGGTGATATTGTAAAGATAGTGCTGTTGTGAGGGGAGGTTTTTTTTCTAAGTGTGTGGATCTTTGAACACAGATATAAATGGACTTGTAATGCACTTTATTTAAACATCAAAGGGAATTTGTGAGTGATTTGTATAGGTAAAATGCATTGCTTTTGGATATGTTTGTGTGTTAGTAAAGCTTTGTGTGTTTGTGTTCACGAGGGTTATTTGCAGTCTCTTTTACTGGACTTTGGCCCCTTGTCTCTTGCCTTATCTTATAGTGTAAACATTGCACCCTCTCTACCTCTGTATTATCTATCCTTCCTCTTCCCCTCACCCTTCTCCCAAAGCATTTTTGTTAAAAAAATTGTCTTAATATAAGTTTTTTTTTACTTAATCAAGATGTGATTTTTTTTTCTTCAATATGTTAAAAATAAATTGTAAAATTTCTGAATATGCTGTAATTTCAGGAAACAGTGCCATACTATGTGTGTTTACTGATATAATTAACATAATAATGGTCTGTCACACAACACATTTATCTCTAACATGGAATATATTTTTTATCTCTTACTTAGAATATATATTTTTGTAATAAGTTATAATAATGTATTCATATATTATTTTCTTTCCAATATCAGCCACTTTGCAGCCTGTCTGTCACAATTACATTTTAAAGGGTTTATGTATTAAAAACTGAATTCTAATTGAAATTAAATTATTGTGCTTATATTAAAGACATTTTTCTCTTCCCGACATCATACTTAACTTAATTATCAGTATTCATTATGTTTATTGAGCATTTTATTATTACTATTTAAAATAACTGCTTTCTATTTCAATATATTTTTTAAAATGTAAATTATTTCTGTATTGCAAATCATTACCCCAGTCTTCATTCTAATATGCTGATTTGCTGCTCAATAAACATTTCCTATTATAATCAATGTTATGTTTTTGTGGAATCCATTTTTTCCTAGATTTTTAATTAATAGAAAGTTCAGAAGATCAGCATTTATTTGAAATAGTCATATTTGCAACATTATAAATATCTTTACCATCACGTTTGATCAATTTAATGCATCCTTGCTGAAAGGGTTAGTTCACCCAAAAATGAAAATTCTGTCATTAATTACTCACCCTCACGTCGTTTCAAACCCGTAAGACCTTCGTTCATCTTCGGAACACAAATTAAGATATTTTTGATGGAATCTGACACAGAACAGCATACGAATGTTTACGTCCAGCGGATATGCTCCAAAATGGCACCAGGGTGATGCGGAGGAGACGAATTGTTGAATAAAGTCTTTTTTTTCTTTTCTTTTGCGCACAAAGAGTATTCTCGTAGCTTCGTATAGTTGCGGATGAACCACTGATGTCACATGGATTATTTTACAGCTCTCCTTGCTAAGTTTCTGGACTTGGGAACATTTCAGTTGCGTTGCTGTCTATGTAGGGTCAGACAGCTCTCAGATTCCATCAAAAATATCTTAATTTTACGGTCTTACGGGTTTGAAACGACATGAGGGTGAATAATTAATGACAGAATTTTCATTTTTGGGTGAACTAACCCTTTAATGTGTTGGTGTGTGTTAGAGAGGATTCTTGGCATGTGGCTAAAATGATGAAGACCTACATGCAGCAGCACAACCTACCACAGAGAGAGGTGGTGGAGTCCACCGGCCTCAACCAATCCCATCTCTCCCAGCACCTCAACAAGGGCACACCCATGAAGAATCAAAAGCGTGCCGCTCTGTACAGCTGGTATGTCAAGAAACAGGCAGAGATCAACCAACGTGAGTATGACCATTTCTTATTTCTCTTACATAAAATTCTGTTTTAATGCATCTTTAAGAATTACACAATTAGAATGAACGATTCTCACACCCTGATCAATGCAGAGTTCACCAATGCCAGTCGAGGTGTCATGTCAGGAGAGGAATCCGGGGATGATGTGAGAAAGGGACGAAGGAATCGATTCAAATGGGGCCCAGCGTCCCAACAAATCCTGTTCCAGGCCTATGAACGACAGAAAAACCCCAGTAAGGAGGAAAGGGAGGGACTGGTGGAGGAGTGCAACAGGTAACGAGTGATCTGGTTACCATAACCCAAAATGTAGGTGCGACGTGGGTAATAACTGTTGCATGTATATGAGTTTTAGAGCGGAGTGTCTTCAGAGGGGAGTTCCTCCATCTCAGCTGGCTGGCCTGGGTTATAATTTGGTCACAGAGGTTCGTGTATATAATTGGTTCGCGAATCGGCGTAAAGAGGAGGCATTTCGCCACAAACTGGCACTCGACGTGCCCTACAGCAGCCAATCAGCTCCCTTGACAGGCCAGATGCTACCATCCAGTCCTTTAACAGGTATGACGTCAATCAGGCCCATACCTGTCCCATCTGTTGACTGATATTCTGTTGCATATAAAATAACCTTTTTAATGACCAATGGGTTGATTTTTAATTAATCTCCCTAGATTTCTCCCTAAATCTGACCTGTTTTACCCACCTTTCTATTTGTTGATATCCTAAAGTTCTGAAGTACAGTCAGCCAGTGGTGTGTGAGAGTCTGGGCACAGTGAGAAGCTCCGGTGGTGAAGACAGAGGTCATCTAGCCAGTCCAGTCCAGCTAGAACCCAGTCATACACTCCTGGATACACACCATCACAAATCAGTGAGATTCCTTTACACTATTTTACACACATCACCATACAGCAGTGAGATTAAGGGAACAGTTAGTGACTTAAGTGATCACTCCCTGCTGAAAAAAAACCCCAGCTAAAACCAGCCTAAGATGGTTGACTGGTCTTAGCTGGTTTAAGCTGGAAGTAGCTGGTTTTAGCTGGTCTCCCAGACTGGCTAAGCTGGTTTTAGCTGGTTGGCCAACTGGTCTCCCAGCTTGACCAGCTAAAGAAGTGGCCAAAACCTCTCTAAAACCAGCCTGCTGACCAGCTATGACCAGGCTGGATGACCAGCTAAAATCAGCCAACAAGATTAGGCTGGTTTTAGCTGTTTTTTTGCTTTCATCTCACAATAACGGCAAGCAGGTTGGAAATGAAGTATGAACAAGAAATTCATACAAGAAGTTAATATTAAGTGACTTATATATACTGTATTGTCTGTCTGTATTTAACCAACAAAAATAGTTCCAAATAGATAGCAGGATCATCGGGCATCTCCGAGCAACACACAGCTGTTTGGCTCCTGAATGAAACTGTGTTTTGAACGAATTGCTTGAGTGAATGATTCAATAACCCATTCATGAAATCAGCCACTTGCTTCGTTCCAGAATGAATTAGTTCTTTTGAACAAATCAAACGATTCAATGACTCACTCGATAAGACACTGACTTGACGCCACCTAGTGGCGGTTTTTCACATTTAAAAACACCATTTGGGGGAAGTCGTGGCCTAATGGTTAGAGAGTCGGACTCGTAACCCAAAGGTAGGGGGTTCGAGTCTCGTACCGGCAGGGATTGTAGGTGGGGGGAGTGAATGTACAGCGCTCTCTTCCACCTTCAATACCACGACTGAGGTGCCCTTGAGCAAGGCACCGAACCCCCAACTGCTCCCCGGGCGCCGCAGCAAAAATGGCTGCCCACTGCTCCGGGTGTGTGTTCACGGTGTGTGTGTGTTCACTGCTGTGTGTGTGCACTTTGGATGGGTTAAATGCAGAGCACTAATTCCAAGTATGGGTCACCATACTTGGCCACATGTCACTTCACTCACTCACTCATTTCATTTTTTCCCATTTCTTATTTCTAAACATTTATGACTCTCTTTGTTCTGCAGAACACACTGTTTTTGTCCATACGGTGAAAGTAAGTGTGGTCCAAAACACTGGACTCCACTGAATTTCATTGTATGGACAAAAACACTGAGACTTTTAAATCTTCATTAAATGATGACATCATTTTCATTTTTTCCCCTTTGCTATCCATTTAAGGCAAATGGAAGCTGAAACCTGAAAGGCAAATTTTCCATTTTCTCTCTTAGGCATCTGGCGGTGGCTCCTTACCTCCTGTTAGTACTCTCACTTCCTTGCATGGAGTGTCAGGATCCTCTGCTACCCCTCCAGGACTGATCATGGCCTCCCTGCCAAGTGTTATGAGTCTGGGGGACTCCTCACTTTTCATAGGTACAATGCATATATAGTAATCTGCATTAACAGTTTAACACCAACACACTGCTAATTAATGCTAACAGATGTCTTTTATTGTAGGCTTGACGTCCTCTCAACCACAGACGGTCATCAACAATGTAGGGGGAGGTTTTACTACCCTTCAGCCAATCTCATTTCAGCAGCAGCTTCACACTTCAGCTCAGCAGCCAATAGTGCAGCAGCTTCAGAGTCATATTGGTCCAAGCTCCTTCATGGCAACAATGGCTCAGTTACCATGCCACAGTAAGTTCTTAATTAGAGGTCTGAGTAATTCATTAGTTGTGCATCAAGACAAGCATCACTATTATTGGGTGGACATTTCTGACTTGAAAACTTCTAGCAATGCTCTAGAAACCACCCAGAACAGTGATTTTTAAATGGACAGACCTAGTTTTTCTCATTTCAGAAAATAGTGTGGACTTCACCAAAATTCTGCTGTAATACTGTGTGTTTCAGTGTACAGCAAAGCAGACCTGAGCTCTTACCCCTCCTCCAGTCTCCTGTCCCAGGCTATGGTCATCGCAGACAGCAACAGCATTGGGACACTGACTAACCTCACAGCTCTTCGACAGGCATGAACCAAACGCAAACTCATCATACTGACATGATTACATGCACATCATTTTCAGATTAAGGGCTATATAACGGGCTTTATATATAAGAAAGATTTACATGTTCCACAGACTTTGGCATATTCATATGAATATGGCATTCAGCTTATCCTGAATAAACTAAGAAATGAATTTACCCATAACAGCTTTTGTCATGTGCACATGTAAATGAATATTCTGTTAAAAAATATGTTCCACATAAAGTGTAAAAATGATCAGTAGACAAAAAGGAATTTATCTTTAATTTATTTATCTATCTTTAATCTATTCATTACAGCAATTCAAAGCAAAACAGTATTTGAGGAATTCAAGACAACTCTTCAGTCCTCAGGTAAAACAGCATGTGAATCTACAGCAACTCTTTTAAATTCTCTATCATTTTCCTCTCCATCAGATTTTCACCTCAGATCCTGAGGGTCATGCTGAAACTCCTATTGAAGAGGAGTCTTTACATCTGCAGTCCACTTCACCAGAGCCAGGTACAGACCCTCTCAGACCTTGTGTTTAATCTAACCATATTCAGATGATACTGATATATAACCATTCACCATCTCTGATTATCTTTTAATTAAATTTCCAGTGTCTTCCGTCAGTTTGGATCTCTACCCTCAGACACAGACAAGTGAAACCCATCCTTCTCACCTGCTCTCCTCTCCACCCGGAGATATAGACCCTTACATCACACAGATGGTCTCTACTGCACAATAGCTGCGGCTACTGATGGAAATACCCCTGAGAGCTGGTGCATATAAGAAAACTAACTTTTTAAAATACACTGGAGAGCAAAAATAAATGAAATAAATAAAACAAAAATTAACAGTCCTTTTAAAAAGCCAAACTGCCACATTGCTACCTGCTGCCTACCCACACTGAGGAGGAAAAAAAAAACTTTAAAATCCATATTATTAAAACCTTTAAATTATGCTCCATAAAAGAACTGAGTACAATTCAAAATGGAATCTTATGTGAACATTAGCATGTATATAATTAAAATTTTAGATTTCAAATTGTGTGACTGCAATAAATTACAGTAAAATTATAAATGTAATTGTTCTAGATTTCTTTGTCTGGTCAGGCTGTAAGACTGATTAAAATGAATAAAAAGTCTAGAAAAATAGTAAAATGGTGAAAACATGATTCATCAGACCTGGCCACCTTCTTCCATTGCTCCGTGGTCCAGTTCTGATGCTCAAGTGCCCACTGTTGGTGCTTTCGGCTGTGGACAGGGGTCAGCATGGGCTCCCTGACTGGTCTGAGGCTATGCAGCCCCATACGCATCAAACTGCAATGCACTGTGTATATTCTGACACCTTTCCATCAGAACCAGCATTAACTTCTTGAGCAATTTGAGCTACAGTAGCTCATCTGTTGGATCGGACCACATGGGCCAGCCTATTATCTATATTACTGTACTGTACCTATGTGTACATGCAACTTTGTATGAAACCAAATGATGAGTTTGCTTACGTTCTTCATCTTCATCTCTGTTTTCAGACTGATCAGGTTCAAAACACTTCTGAAATGCAACTACTGTGCATTTGTAAAATTTGTATGACAAGCTGAAGATACTCAGTAGAAATAACAGGTCTTGTATGGGTCTCAACCATCCAAAAAGGCTCCTACCTTTTTTGCCACATGGGATTGAAATTCTGGTGTTGTCCCAAGCTCATTCCCATCATGTTCATGATTTGAAACATTGGTTCTGTGTAACAAATTTTAAAATTTAACTCACTACAAAATAACCACTGAAATCCAATCTCAAAGTGTTGATTATTCATACTGACCAGTAGCGTAGCGCAAATCTCTAACACAGGGACAAGTGAGTAAAGATTGTAAGAGGAGAATATCATATCCAGATTGCTCACTAAAACATCCAGGTATCCTTCATTTCGTTAAACAAGAAAATAACCGAGATGAAAAGTCAGAAGACCATGACTTTGCAGTTTTGAATGCTCTTCTCTCACTGGATCAGGAGACTTGTGGATATACTGGGGCTGGCGATGGTGAGTGCATCCTCTCCATTATACCTGTAAAGGTGAAATCAAAGAAGAGTGAAAAATCAGTAGAGACTTATCCTTTCCTAGACCCAGGGAGCACAACCACTTTTTGCACAGAAGATATCATGCATTAACTGAACATACAGGGCAAGAAGTCTAATTTTCTGCTTTGTACTATGGGTCAACAAAGAAAGGTGCGAGGATACTTGCTGTCTGACTTAAAAGTTTGTGGTTTAAAAGAGAATACTTATATCGATCTACATAATGTCTTGACTCAGCAACACTTGCCTGTGAAAGAAGGGAGCATTCCTAAACAGGAGGATATTGAGAAATGGCCTTACCTGCATGAGGTTCGTCTTCCACATATTCAGGCTGCAGTAGTGCTACATATTGGAGTGAATTCTCATATGGGCATGGAACCATGGAAGATGATAAACAGCAGAAGCAACGGGCCTTATGCAGTGAAGACAGTTCTTGGCTGGATAGTCAATGGACCGAAAGAAGAGAGCATCAAGACAAGAAAATCTGGTATACAGAGCTGTACAGTGAATCGCACATCTGTGGAGATGATTGAAGATTTGCTGATGAAGCAGTTTAATCTTGATTTTCCTGAGCGTCGTTATGAGGATAATTCTGAAATGTCTCAAGAAGACAGACAGTTCACGATGTCTGTGACCAAGTCTACTCAACAGCGTCTCAAGAGCCTTCAGACTCAAAAGGAATCCTAGTTCCATGAGGACTACACCAGATTTATGAACAACATAATTGAGAAAGGGTTCGCTGAGAAAGTACCGGATGAGAATTTTGCACCTTGGTGATGGAAAGGTGTGGTTTTCATTCCACACCACGGGGTTTATCATCAGAAAAAGAAAAAAATCTGTGTTGTCTTCGGCTGTAATGCATCTTACCAAGGATACTTCAGTTACTTCAAGGGCCTAACCTCACTAACACGCTTATTGGGGTGTTGACTAGATTCTGTGAGGAGCCGATTGCAATGACAATGTTTTATCAGGTTTGAGTACCTAGTGAGGATGCAGACTTCCTGAGGTTTCTCTGGTGGCCAGATCAACCTAGATCAAGATGACGAGGAGTACAGGATGTGTGCACACCTGTTTGGGGCAACGTCTTCACTGAGTTGTTCTTGTTACACTCTTCAAAGAACAGCAGAAGCTGAAATCAATGACACTACTCCAGAAGCAACTCAGGCACTCTTGAAGAATTTTTACAATTATGATTGCCTTAAATCAGTGGCAACTGAAGAACAAGCAGCCATTCTTGCAAGAGACATCAGAGTGCTTTGTAATTGAGGTGGGTTCCATTTGACAAAATAGACTAGAAATAGGAGAACTGTACTTTCGTCCATCCCTGAAGAGGAATGAGCCACTGACATGAAAGACTTAGATCTGGACAGTGGGTTGCTTCCCATGGAAAGAGCATTGGGAATTCTGTGGTGTACAAAGAATGACACGTTTAATTTTAAGATTGAAGTGCAAAACAAACCAGTTATCAGAAGAGGTATATTGTCAGCTGTTGGCTCTTTTTACGACCTTCTTGGGTTCCTAGCACCATTTGTGCTACCAGCAAAGCTCATTCTGAGAGACCTTTGTTGAGAGAAAATAGCACGGGATGAGAAAATTGTAGAGAAAAAGGCTGAGAGGCAGCTGTCCTGGCTGGAACATTTGCAGAAGCTCGCAAACTTCAGTGGCTACGTTTACATGCACAATTTTTGGTTCAATCAGACTGAATTCATTCCGACTCATGAATCTGAATGTAGTGTTTACATGAACGCTAAATAAAGTGATCGGGTTGATGTGCGCGTTTATATGTCACAAGCTTCAAATCGGAATGGATTTTTTTTTTACATGCGCACACTGCACAAATATTTTCTCACTGTTTTCACATAATAACCACTCTCCTACACGGTTTCTTTATTTGTTTTTAACAGCATAATTAATATTGATCCATTTATGGATAAATATACATATAAACCGCTGTGCCATACTGCTCATATTTATCATGCAAAAAAATGCCCCTCCCCGCACCCAAAACGGGTTGCCTGTGGATGAGAATCCACACTGGTGGGAGGTTCTCCTGCTCCACTTCACAGTTACCGAGTGAAAGCAGAGTTTTATAATGACAGGACACGCATTTACACAACACTTTATTCAAAAGGAAGAGCCACTCCTTCTGCGCATCATACGTCATTACGCGTCATTGCACATGCGCAGTCCTTTCAGTTTCGGGGTTCAATCCGATCGAGTGTTTACATCAGGGGTGCCCAAACTTGGTCCTGGAGGGCCGGTGTCCTGCAGAGTTTAGATCCAACACCAATTAGACACAACCACCCCCTTCAATCCGATCGAAATTTAATTCCGATCAAGCTCAATCGGATACATTAAGGTGCTTACATGAAGGATTTCAGTCCGATTGAGCTGTCAATCCAATTACAAACGGATTATTTGGTTGTGTGAGTAGATGTATCAAACCTGCAGGGTTTGGGCATGTCAAGACCTTTCAATTGCACCACTTTGCAGATGCTAGCGAGAACGGATAAGGGACTGTCACATACCTTTTGCAGACAAATTACCACGATCAAAAGAGCTGCATGTTTATGATGGGAAAGTCCAGAGTGGCGCCACTCAAGCAGGGGATGATGGGGGTTGGTTTTAAAGAATTGTGTTATAATAACCCATACAAAGACAACTCATTATATACACTATAAACACTTTAAAGGAGACAGACATGTAGATGTTTGTGAAAGATGTTTTCTGTTTTGGAGGGATGATTTTTTAAAAATCATACCCTATTTATTGCGTCAAAATTTGTTAACACTTTACTATATTTAAGGGTGGATAATTTTATCAGTTGTTTATTGCAACAATACATAACTACAATAGCTTTGTCTAGTGCTCTTATGAACGTTTATAGCATGATTTGTGAAAATGTAACTATACTGAATGACATGGCATAGACTTCTTCATTGCTAGTTTGCTAGTGTTAAATGCTACTGTTTTTGACAGCATTGATAACGTTTATGACAGATAATATCATGTGAATTTTGCGTTTCCCTTACCGAATGTCGTATCCTGTCAGCAAAAACCTGTCCATGGGCTTTTTTGATTGCTTTCAGTTTACTGTAAGTGCCGGCAATGCAGTGTTGCCAGATTGATACTAAAACAAACAAAAAAATAGAAATAAATAAAAATAAACCGAAATTATTTCCAATCTTTTGCTGTAATAAAATAAGATGAAATAAAGATTTAGCTGACTATAAACTGCAACTTCCTACTTTATTAACTTTCTAAAGTGTTAAATTAAGTGGAAAAGACAAGTCCAAAACGCTTATAATAGCTGGATCTGGCAACACGGAGGCTGCGCCAGCGCCCTCACTCACAACTCTATCGAGCCTGTTCACTCCGCCAGCGTCTCGCAGCGATCATTTTCATACCAGGGACGCTAAATATTCTTGCACACTGTCTAAACTGAATTATACATGTCATGCAGGCATTCATACAAGGAGTTTAAAGGGGACATATGATGCGATTTCAATTTTTCCTTTCTCTTTGAAGTGTTACAAGCTCTTGGTGCATAAAGAAGATCTGTAAAGTTGCAAAGACTAAAGTCTCAAATTCAAAGAGATATTCTTTATAAAAGTTAAGAGTCAACCACGCCTACCTAAAACGGCTCGTT